TATCTCTTTATATCTCGGAAGTGCCGGCCTTGTGTTAAATACACCTTTCATGAACCGTGATATCAGGTTATTATTGCTGAGATCTACGTTTGAAGTTATCTTAACAAACCCACAAATTGCTGATCTGGCAATACCAATCGCACTGTAGGTTATCCCTTTTGAATATAGGTGAGACAAAAATGCTATCACTGTTGCTACAAGGGGTTTAAAGGGATCGTGTTTCCCTTCACAGAAATGAAACCATTGTTTAAGATATGTTTGATACTGTTTCCTGGTTGTTCTCCGCCACGAATTAATGATAATCTGCTGAGCTTCATTTGAAATCCCTCTATCTTCAAGCGCTTTCCTGATAAGGGAAAAAGCGCCAGCCTCATCTTTTTTAATGGGTGTTTCTTTCCCGGTCGATGGCACAACGTAAGGATGTCTGAGGGTGCTGAAGTAGAAGGCATGGTGCAACAATAAGTTGTATTAATGTCGGCCACCATGTCTGTGCAGGCCATATTGGTGCTACTAAACACAGTAGTTCTGTCTTGATCTATTTCTACTTTTTTCAGGACCCTGCCTATTACACTGAAAGGTGGAAAACAATAATAACAATTATCATGCCATGAGAATGAAAAAAAGCGTCTATAGCAAAAACATTTGGGTCAGGTTGTCTTGAAACATACGTCGGAAACTTGTTATTTAAGCGAGATGCAAATAAATCTATATTTAAGGACGGAAAGACCGACAAATTGCTGTGAACATCTCAGGTGATATACTCCATTCTAAATCTTCATTTCCAGTACGACTCAGTTTGTCTGCCGTGCGGTTCAATGACCCCGATACATGATGTGCTGACAACAAAATGTTTCTTTGAATACACCAATGCCAGATATCGCGCGCAATTTTATTCACATGAATCTATTCTTCCCCCGTAATTATTTATGTATGATACACTCGTAGTGTTATCCATATAAATTTTTATATAGAGAATATTTCTGGTTGTGTTTAAAAAAGCGACAATAGCCCAACTTGACACGCTTTTAATTCTAACACATTGATATGTTGATTTTGTTCTTCCGCCGACCAAAAACCATTTGTTCGTCTATTTTCTGTTTTATCATACGCGCCCCACATATGTCCCGAAGAATCAGTAAACATAATGTTATTCGGGTCAGGCGATGTAATACTTTTGAAACATGAATGTATATGAGTGATCCACCATCGCAAATTTTCCAAAATATCTGGCGTGATTGTAAAAAAACTATTAAAATTACCCTTATGGTTTTTCAATTCCCTTTCCTTATGTCGTTCTAAAGGTTTCATGTACAACGGAGCATGCATAACCCCCGGTGATGCTGCAACCAGTTTTCCAATAATCTTTGAAAATTTTTGAATTGTTATTCGCCGGCATGTTATTATGTTATTGCAAAGCTCTGTGATATCATCACATTTTTCCTTTGTTAATCTTATTGTCATTGTTTTAGAGCACAGCACAAATCCCAAAAATACAATCTTTTTCGACGGAACCAGGACAGATTTACCCATTGAAATTGTAAATCCTAACTTGTCTAATAAATCAATTGTTTCGCTGATATTTCGAGCACAGGCGGAGTATGACTGACCTTGCAAACATGCGTCGTCGATGTAAATTGAACTTAAATGACCCCGCGCTCTTAAATGAGAAAAAACTGGCTTCATCAGTTTAGTGAATATCATAGGGCTTTTTGCAAATCCCATCACAAGCGCTGTAAATTGATATTTTACACCTTCGAAAAAGAAACGAAAATACCGTCTGTCCCGTTCGTATATAGGTATAGTGTAAAAAGCATCAGAAATGTCGACCTTGCCGAAATAACAATTTTTTCCTCATTGCTGTGGTCACTGACCCCAAAGTTTTCCATTTTAAAATGTATTTTGCTGACGTAGTTGCTATTGAAAGATTTTAAATTCAAAATAATTCTAATCCGTCCGTCTGATTTGTCTTGTGAATATATTCGAAATGTATTCTCCGTCCAAGTTTTCGTCTGCAAGTTCTATTATTCCTTGATTTAAAAACCGTGTAATTTCAAACTGTATTGCTTGTTTTTTCGTTTTCTTTAAAATTAAATGGTTTTGGAATTTTATACTGAAAAGGAGTTGCTGACAGCTGTACCCGATAACCGTCTACAGTTTCTAGTATCCATTTATCTTTGGTTATTTTTCTCCACTCATTCAACGCCATTCTGGTCTTCCCCGCGCGAAAATTCTGTGAAGTATTTATAATGGTAGAGGAATATTTCATATTATGATTACTTACTTCGGATATTAATTTTTCTGTGCTCTTGATCGGAAAGTATTCATTTTCTGCTGTTTTGTTCTGTAATTGTGATTTTGACGTCGTCGCTGTAGATTGAAATTCATGTTGCCCTGTGAATTGAGCGCATGTTTCCGTTTGTGCTGAGGTACCAGGGTCGCCATGCCCTGGCGTTTCCCTAAAAAAGAAGGCCTGGAAGTACATGTAAGTTGCTGCTTATTGTCCCTTAACTTTTTAAGTTCTTCATCTACTTTATCGCCAAACAGATAAGTGGCAGATTGGTTTGCTGAACAAATTGGCCTATAAAGCGGGAGAAGTTCTTTCTTTATCCTGTCACGTCTCATCTGAGAAGTAGTGACAAAAGCATTGGTTAACAGTTTGAAAGTATCCCCAATCAACTCTTTCATTTTTGGTCGTCCATCTGTCTTTAACTCATCCATGGTCATCAATACCGGTACCAAAGCAGACGAAAAAAATTTCTGTGTACTCTGCAACAGAAAATCCTGTGCTTTAACTTGAGATGGCAACTGTCGCCACAACTGCTCATTCATCAAAGGTACTTGTAGAAATTCTACATTGTTAGGCCTCTTGTGTGTGTCCAAAAGTTCCTTTATTTTTTCTTCTTTCGGTTGTACCTGCAAAGCTTTATTGCTTAAAGTGGCTAGTTTGTCACTTATCGCCGCTCCTGTTTCTGAGGCATCCTCGAAGAAATCCACCATGTAGAATTCATCATCATCATCATCATCATCATTTCCGTCGGTGACCCCAGATTCGCGGAAAAAATCTCCCACGCTTTCGTGATCTGAGCCTGAATCATCCCTCGTGCAAAAACGTTTCGAAGTTGATGTTTCTTCGCAGGTAACTGCAGTTCTTTTCAAAGAATTTACGTCAGACCTCATTTCAGTCAGAGAATCCGTTAAACCTTTTATTGCATTTTGGATGTCTTCTAACTGACTAGAAGATCCTGCAAGTGTCCCGAATTTTTCAAATATATTGGGAATATTGGACTGGTTGTTTCCGACCTCTTGATCGTCGGCCATGATCCTGAAAAATGTTTTTTAAACATTTCTAGCAGCAGTCCATTTAAACAATAAAATGAAGAAATGAAGAAGAAACATATATAAACGATTAGAATTTAATCGCAGTCAGGCGTAAATAACGCCGTCAAATAGATATCTACATAAATCATTAATTCGTCCCTCTGTGATATGCACGACGCCTGATTTTTTTTTTTTTTTTTTTTTTTTTTATTATTATTATTATTATTATTATTATTATTATTATTATTATGTATGTCATGTTGCATGAACACGCCCTATTGCAAACAAATATATAATTTGTCTGTAATGTTCAGACCATTTTAGCTTTTCCATGGTGTTGGATAAGCAATAATTACGAACAAATGTATCTTTTGTCTGTGGTGTTCAGACAGTTTTTAGCTTTTCCATGGTGTTTGGATAAGCATAATTACGAACAAATGTATCTTTTGTCTGTGGTGTTCAGACAGTTTTAGCTTTTCCATGGTGTTTGGATAAGCATGATTTCATTACGAACAAATGAGTCTTTTGTCTGTGGTGTTCAGACAGTTTTAGCTTTTCCATGGTGTTTTGGATAAGCATGATTTCATTACGAACAAATGAGTCTTTTGTCTGTGGTGTTCAGACAATTTTTGCTTTTCCATGGTGTTTGGATAAGCATGATTACGAACACTGTATCTTGTTTTGCCTGTGGTGTTCAGACATTTTTTTTTTCGTATTTGGCAGCAGTGTTCAGACAAAATTGGCTAATAAATATTGTTGTTATAAAATGTATAACTACAAATGTATATATTGTCTGTGGTGTTCAGACATCAAACATATACGAGGTTTTTTTTTTGTTTTTTTTTTTGACAAAAATTTAAACGATTTTAAGTATAAACTTAAATATATACAAATAAATTAAACATACCTCTTATCACACTTTTCTTAACTGCTTAATTAATATCCACAAATGAAACACTTGTTAGTCCTAAATAATTACACTATAATAATTTAAACTTGTGAAAAATACGACAGGCTTTACTTTAATTAAGAACAATTATACGTCTTGACCGTAGCTGCTAATGCCTCGTTATGACCACTGGCTGCTGATAGCTGCGTCTTCTCTCTGTGGGGCCCATTAGTGAGTTTATATGTAGGATGAAATCAAAGTGATGCAAGCTTCTTGAAATTTCTATGGTTCGAAGATGGGGACGTTAACAAGAAAGTTGTCGAGTACCAGATGGTTGTTCATTTATTTGGCGCTAAGTCTTCCCGAGTTGTGCCAATTATGCTTTTAGGGAAACCGCATTCAATCACGGTAGTAACCATGACAACGAAGTGACTAAGACAATACTAAGAAATTTCTATGTTGACGATTGCCTCAAGTCAGTGCCAAATGTTGAAGTTGCGAAATCTTTGGCAAATGATCTTCAACACGTTTTACTACAGGGCGGCTTTCGTATTCATAAATGGCTATCCTCGAGTCGTGATGTGATGTCAACCATTCCATGTAGCGATAGAGCTGTTGACCTGGATCTGAACTATGACACTTTGCCAATTGATCGCGCATTAGGTATTCAGTAGTGTGTAGAATCTGACAAATTCTGTTTCAAAATTGACATTAAGAACAAACTATTAACGCGACGCGGCATTCTCTTTATGCTAAGTTCCGTATTAATCCGCTTGGCTTTCTGGCTCCGTTAATGTTACATGCCAAAAATATACTCAAGGTTCTCTGCGCATCGAATCTAGGCTGGGACGACCCAGTTCCTGATGAACTAGCGAAAAGATGGGCTCTCTGGATCAATGACATGTACAAATTGTCCGAATTCTCAGTGACTAGATGCCTAAAACCAGCAGGTTTCGGTGAGGTAAAGTCGGCTACTTTGCATCACTTCTCGGATGCTAGTGAGATTGGCTACAGTATCGTCAGTTTCATAAGATTACTCAATAAAGATAATCGTGTTCACTGTGCCTTTGTGATTGGCAAATCTCGCGTTGCTCCAATGAAGCAAATAACAGTACCTAGATTGGAGCTTACGACAGCAACAGTCGCGGTGCGAACTGACAAGATGTTAAAGTCAGAAATTGACATTAAATTAGACGAATCCGTGTTTTGGACAGATAGTATGGCTGTACTACGGTTTATTGAAAACAGTTCTGCAAGGTTCCAGACCTTTGTGGCTAACAGACTTTCTGTGATTCATGATGGTTCAAATCCTGAGCAATGGCGCTATATTCCAACCAAGATAAATCCTGGCGATATCGCCTCCAGGGGCATAACGGTAGATGAGTTAAACAAGAGCTGGATCGTAGCACCAGACTTCCTATGGAAAGATGAAAGTAAATGGCCCGCAGATCGTGTGAACCAAACGATATCAAATGACGATCCAGAAGTAAAAAAGGTTAATTTTGTGAAATATCGCGCTGACAACGTACTGTCACCAGATGCACGTGAAGTGCTCGATAAACTGATATCATATCTCTCGTCGTGGTATAAACTGAAAAGGGCTGTAGCATGGATCTTAAAGATTTGCGAAAAACTTCTTCACAGAGCTAAGACAAAAGGGGTTAGTGTTGCAGTTCCTAGCATTAGTGAAAAGAAACCATATGTCACGTTTGATGATTTGAAGCACGCGGAAATGAGTATTTTACGTTACACCCAGAAATGTGCCTTTCCGGAAGAAATTGAAACACTGACAAACAATGAATCTACATGTAGATTAAAGCGAAACAGTGTCATACGAAATTTAGACCCAATTATGGAAGATGGACTTTTACGCGTTGGAGGCCGTTTACAAGACTCCGCAATGCCTGAAGAACGTAAACATCCAGTCATTCTACCTAAAAATTATGACGTGTCTAAACTGATTTTAAGAGAAATTCATGAACGTTTGAATCATGTTGGCCGAAATCATACATTATCAGTCCTCCGTGAAAAGTACTGGCTTATAAATGGGCCATCCGCGGTAAGGAAGGTGATTTCAAAATGTGTAGTTTGTCGGCGTCAAAATGCAAGTGTCGGAGAACAAAAGATGTCGAATTTGCCTAGAGACAGGGTTACTCCTGATGAACTACCATTTACTCGGGTTGGTGTTGACTATTTTGGACCATTCGAAGTCAAACAAGGCCGAAGTTTAGTGAAAAGGTACGGGGTATTATTTACATGTTTGACCAGTCGAGCTATTCATCTTGAAGTGGCTGCTTCGCTCGATACTGATTCCTATATAAATGCATTAAGACGTTTTATCGCGCGTCGTGGTCAAGTTACTACTATCAGGTCTGACAATGGTAGTAATTTTGTTGGTGCGGAAAGGGAGCTTAAAGCTTCAATTCAAGAATGGAACATAAATCGTATTCAGGATACGTTACGGCAAAAGCACGTTGACTGGAAGTTCATTCCGCCTGCATGATCTCATCATGGTGGAGTATGGGAAAGAATGATAAGATCGGTGCGACAAATTTTGAAAAGTGTTCTTAAACAACAGACCTTATCTGACGAAGGTTTGCATACATTAATGTATGAAATTGAATCAATCATTAACAGTAGACCAATAAGTAGAAATTCCGATCATCATAATGATCTTGAAGCTTTGACACCAAATCATCTCTTGTTGTTGAAGCGCAATCCAAACTTACCACCCGGTGTATTTGTAAAAACTGATAATTACTGTCGGCGTCGTTGGGCGTCAAGTGCAATACATGGCTAACTTGTTTCTGGTCCCGCTGGGACCAACGAATACTTATCACTCCTTCAAGAGAGAGCAAAATGGCATAATAGAAAAAGAAACTTTAAAGAGGGGGATATCGTGCTAATTGTGGATTCGAACGCTCCGAGAGGCTCATGGCCTTTGGCAGGGTTGTTGGCAGCTATGCCTGACAGACTAGGGTTCGTTAGACGAGTTAGGGTTAAAACTGCCCATGGTACATATTTTGACCGTCCTATTGACAAGTTGTGTTTGCTCCTTGAAATGGATGAGTGACAGTTCTTAACTATGCATGGCTAAAGCTTAAGCCATAACTGTGTACATTTATATAGACTTGTGCTACCTGTTGAATATTCAGTATTTTGCTTTAAAGACTCATATAGTAATAATTATTTCATATTATAATACTGATAAATGATTCTTGATCAGACATACTTCATACATTGTTTTGAATTTTATGTATGTTATTTCATTCTAAGATGCCATATTATAACATGTACATTTGCTTAAAATGCTGTAAAATTGTTGTTTTTGTAAGAATTAGGATTTAGCAATCATTTCACTATTGTTTTTGATGTCAAAATTTTTTGCAGAAAGTTTTGAAGTTTTTATATCAAGTTTTTGTACGGTAGGATTGTAATTGTGAAACAATTAAGGGGCTGGGATGTAGGTGCCATCTACGTATATAGGGTTGTTGAAATAGATGACAACGATATTTTTAGTAGTCGCTGAACGTATTCGTAAAGTTTTTTAGTAAAAGAGCATGGGACTTGTTTTTCGAGGAAAAATATCGTATTTTCTAGTCATTACATGCACTGATTTACTATGGAACAATCTTAATTTGGTAATTAGAGTTGTTTTCTATTTTTGAATTGTTCACTACATGTATTTAGGCTAATTATTGCCTTTGCGGGGATTTCTAATACCCCAACAATTGCGTTTTGCATTATGAAAAATGTTAAGCATCTTGAAAGGTTTGATAGTGTAATTTCTGTTTATTTATCGATATTTCTAGTTGCTAGGCATTCTTTTATGCAGTTTTAAGTAATTTATTTTGGTCTAGATACATTATGTAAGTAACTTCCATGTTTAGAGATTATTTCCAAGGGAAGCAAATCTTACAAATTTTTGGAATATGCTTAACAGAGTTATCTTTCTTTGACAAATGTACATCACTGTATTAATGTGTTGGTTTTTATGACATGAAAATTTAGTGTATTTCTTTGCTTATTTTCAGTCTATCGTTTCATGTCGTTTCAAGTCATTTCAAGATATTGTTTCAAGATGTTATTTTAAGAGATTGTTAGGGGAAACGCATTGACAAATTCCAATAAACCTTAAAAACTGTGTAAACGTATTCTAGTCAGTACAGGGACCACGTGGTTATGCTGTATACCAAATATCAAGAGGCTGTGATAAGTAGTTGCTGAGAAAACTGTTACGAAAATTCCATCTATTGATCATTAATGTCGAACATTTAACAAAGTCGGCAAACAGGAAGTGAATAATTGACAGACCTGAAATTGAATCCCATGGTGTAGGACCCTATGTAAATGCTGTATTCCAATTATCAAGAGGCTGTGATAAGTAGTTGTTGAGAAAACTGTTACGAAAATACTTCCCCCGCACGCCCGCTGCCCGACATTCACCATACTATAATCCGGGTTTGCACCTGTGCAATCCGGTCAAAAATGAATTAAGTCTGGTTGCGGTAAGGTCGCGCTCCCGTTGTACAAATGACGCCATATTTTTGCGTAAAAACGTAATAAATTCTATAAAATGTGTGTAATATATTTTACTCAGTACATAGTAACATCCACTATTTCGTATATTGCTTTTTAAATAATAGAAAGCTGAAGTTAAGGAAATATCTTAAAACATTCATCAACAGTAAAATTATGATGCTGTAACCCAGTAAGTTATAACTGAAACGGATCACCTTCATTGCAAATATTTGATGTATTAATGTCAAGCAATAATATCTCAGTTGTAAGAAATTTAGCTATGTATATATACTATCATGTTGAAAAAATGGAAACATTGTATAAGTACATGTATTTATTAAACAAGGCATGACATGTTGTTGATACAAATTGTTGATTGCCTTTAATAGCTTTAGAATTGTGTGTCACCCATGTTATGTATTATTTGTATTATTATGTGTATTGACATGTGTTCATATACTGCAAATAAAAGTAAAGTACAGGCCCTTATGATTTTGAAGGGGGTAAAATGTGCACTTCCAGAAATTTTAAAGATGACAAAATGTTCTTTCAAAAGTCAGACAGGTTCGGCTTAAAACACACGAGGAAACATAAATGTACCATGTTAAATATATATAGACATTTTTGGCGATTGTTTGTTAAAATGAATACAGCCATATTTAAAATATGTTGTTATTTATGTCTCATATAATTGATCACATTCTCGACGGCCATCTTGAATTATTTTTTTAATATCCGAAGTTTCATTACAATCCATCTACTCCAAAGCCTGGATCAGCGGAAAATTAGCTATGTATTCTGCAGGACTACTGTGAAATCATCAAATCAACTTATTTAGGCTAACTAATAAACTGTCTTTAAAGTGAGAATACAACATGGTGCATTGCTGACAAATCTGATAGAAGATTATAACGCATGTCATTATAATAATCGTTTTTAAAAATCGTGTCGGTATGTTTTGATATTAAATGAAAATTGCAAATGATAAGTTATTATTGATAACAGACTATTTGTTAACTTTAGATGCGAAATCGTAAACAGAAGCTAAACTTTCCACTCGTTTCTACGCAGTTACTAATAAATTCCACTTGGAATTATTTTATTGCAAACTATTTCGATCTACGCGTCGACAATCAAAATGTACCCTTTGTTTGTTTTAAGTTTAAGCACGTTTTGAAGAAAAGAACAGATAAAAACATAGTTTTCTTTATTACAAAAAAAAAGTGATCAATGGAAAATTATTGACAAGGTGCACGTTCTTATTTGGGCACATTCAACGAGTCGAAACGTATTGGAAGAATTTAGAAAAAAGACATTTAATAATATGTTCTAGCATAATGTGAAAAATAATGGTATTTGAGAAAAGTTTGCAGTCTATACAAAGGGTTTAAGCCATTCGACCGCTTAATCATTAAAGACACAATTAAGCAAAAGTAGTAAAGAATTTACGACAAGTAATTTTCAAACTAATTTATTTTATCAAAAAAAATCAGGTTTAAGGATAGTGATTTTTTGTAATGAGAAATACGTACGAAGATCATTCTAGCAAGCAATATAAATAGGAAGCCAGTTTTTGCTTATTTTGACAGTTTGTATTATTTCATGACATTTAAGTATTATATTTTTCATTTCTTAATCCGAACGATGATTCCACTTTTTAGTTACTCTTTGCACTGTCGAACAATATATCTTGATACATAGTTAAATAGTATGTTATGCTTACAATTTATCATACATGTAAATATATGACATAAAACTACTGGTATGCTATAGACGGCTTGATCCCATATCTTTTGAAGGGGGAATTCTCATGAAGGTATGTTATACAATAACTTAATTGTCAAGCAATAACTTTCCCCTGTAAAATCAAACCGTTAAACAAACAGGATCAGCCGGAAACTTTTCTACATATAAGTCTTTAAAATTCCGCTGAACCAGAAAAAAATATCAATGCTGAGATAAAGCGAGACAATTTTTTATAGTTGAACACAACACTTGACATTTATTGACTGCTGTGAGTGTAAATATCTTGTTAAAAGTGAGGACTCGAGAGAGAGGGGGAAGAGGGAGAGAGATAGCAAAGAAAAAACGAAATTAAAATGTTTAAAAAAAAAATGCAGACACGGTTCGTGTCTGTCCAAATAATGTAAGGGTGTCCTCTAGCACTGGCTGAAACAGTATTGTTTCACTATTATTGGAATCAATTATTCCTAAAGACCATAGGAAATAAAATAGCACTGGAATATACTATGGGGCAACTTTTTTACAATTGCTACACATCATTTGACACCTGCTGTTATAAGTATAAAGAAATTCATAAATGCTGATGCAAACAAATTTGTAATTTGTGACACCTTGCTCTATTCGAAACGTTGCTTCTATGGTATGCATGCAATATATGAGACGATTAACTGTCTTAGAGTTTCTTCAACAACTATGAATGGAAATATATAAACCAGTGTTCGTGCCAAAATCAGAAAATAAGTTAAGCTCAAAAGTATATAAATAAATAGTATATGATTGTTGGCAGAAAAAGGAGCAATTGATCCTTGCAATGAAAACTGTTGACGACAGAAAATGTTAACTTTAATAATATATTACATCAGTTAAGATTTTGACTAAATACAACAAATAAAGATCTACATAATGTAAAATGTAAGAAAAGATTAATAAAAGTGCGGAAAAACAGTCAATTAAATTCGTCTATATGGATCTGCAACATATTTATGCGTAACAACCTTTAATATACGATGTTATTTTTGTCTTGTAAATAAATGCACACATAAAAATATCAAAGTCACGCTGCCATTGAGGTTACGTTGCTTTTGTAAGATACATGTCGTTTCATTAGGGTAACTCTTTATCAATATATGTCAGCTACGGGTACAAATATCAAATTGCTCATTAATATTGTCAACATGCTGATAACATTCATTTTACTCCAAGTGCCCTTAGCGAAGTAAATGTAATGTTCATGTATTT